CTTTACTTGATATTCTATTTAAAGACACTTTAAATGTTTCCATATTCCATAAAACTCTTTTTAAAATGAATTCATGAAAGCTCCTAGGTAACAGGGAAGTTTCACACACCCTCACTGAAAGGGTTTAGATGCACTCTGATCCCGACTCCCTCCTGGACACTTCAGAAATTTTCTCAGGTGTGACATCGCCCCAAGCAGCCATTCCTCGTGTCCCATGCCTTGTGACGGGGCCTGAGATACTTTGGGGAAAACTGGTGCCCAAGACATCTGGGTGGCCACGTGGCATGGAGTAAAGAAGAAACCAAGGCTTCTGCAAGTCGTGAAGTTCAGATTCCAAGCATGGTCATAAAGGGACCAATATGTAATGATGGATCAATCGCTTATCATGTATTGACATATCAACCTCACCACCAGTACATGGGTGGGAAGTTCCTGCTCCTCGAGTGTTCTAGAACTCGCAGAGGATCCAGCAAGGCAGAACCGGAGTCAACCAGAGCCACAAAAACTCCATGTGAAGGTTCGGGCTCGTGAAGACGGTGAAACAAAGTGATCACAGGGAAAGCCTGTGGGACATCGACGTCTGCCCTCTGTCTCCTCTCATCAAAAGGAAATTTTAGCCCCAAGAACTTAACCAGATGTGAGAGAATAAGTTTCTATTTAACTGCAGCCTTCCAGAATTTCCAGCACAACACCCCAGCTCAGCGTTAAATAAAATGCCTGTCCAGAGCTATTTGAGTCAGGAGATGAATAAACTGCCTAGACAGGGTAGTAACTGGAGAGAAACACTGTCTCCTTTCTGGGATGGAAATAACAAGCAGGGAGGGGGGCCTAGACGTGCTGACCTGCATAAGAAAATTACAAGCCCCTCTTTCACTGCGAGGCAGAGGGGAACGGACCGGATTCTTCTCACCTTGACACAGGGCTGGCTACTTCAGGAGCTAAGTGTTGAGATGGAGTTCGCCAAACTAGATCAGGCAACAGGAGGGAAAATGTGAGTGAGTGAGTGAGTGAGAGAGTGAGTAAGTGAATGAGTGCGTGCGTGCGTGCGTGCGTAGAGAAGTTAGACTAGAGAATGTTTGGTGGATCCACGGCTCTCCCAGGACCCCATCACTGCAAAACCCTAGGTGCAGAATCCAGTGAAATGTTCGGGTTCCCTTTTTACAAAGCCCAGGCCTTCCGTTGGCAGAGGTAAAGGGACATTTCAGAAGGAACACCACACTGTGCCCACACAAACATAAACCTCTCAGCCCCCTCAAGGCCAGATAGATGTCCAGTGTACACCCACCCTGCCGTCTGCCTTTCTCCCCACCGCCCCAGGGCTAGAGCGCCGCAGGAGGCCAAAGACACAGCTGGTTCATGGAGACGGGTCCTGCAGATTGGGAGACAGAACACAGCGCTATTTTTTAGTTACAGAGCAGTCATCAGCTGCTTGTTCAAAAATCAACTTAGACTTCACTGTCAAGGATTTATGGCAGACGTGAGAAAGCGCCTTCCATCAACAAGTGCTTTGGAGAGCCAAAGTGTTATGTAAGAAGCAACCTGCGTTTGCCTCTGCAGAGCATGACACAGCAGGCACCCTCCAAAGCAGCCCTGGGGACTAAATCCCTGTCACATCCTTCTCTGAACCCTGGACCCAGCCAGAATACACACACACACACACACACACACACACACACACACACAGAGGCTACTGTGCCTACACATTCACATGTTCACATTTCTCAAGCTGCTTGAAGTAATCTTCAATCATAAAAGTTAGGGGATTTTTTATAGATTGTTTTCCTCAACCACATTAATTGCCCGTTATGCCTCTAACCTCCACAGCAGAGGGGGCACTCGATAAAAATGGTCTGCGTGCGAGGCGTGCCGAAGAGCAGCGGCCCCGTCGCTGGGCCGGCCTGCTCGCTCCCCTGGACAGCAGGGCTGCTGTGCAGCAGGAAGCGGGGCTCTGGCTTTGCAGCCTCCTATCACCAACCCCGCTGAGACCGGGAGAGATTTTTACATAAGCTACTAGAATAAGCTTTCCTGCTTAAAGCAAACAAACTCATGTCTAAATCCAGTGAACTGGAGGCAAGAGGGATGCCGACCTTCAGACAACTCCTAAGGGCTAATCATGAGCTACTTCTAAAGTCGGTGATGCTGGGAAAAGTCTCCCTGAGAATGAGTGAAGCTGTACCTTCTACCTCCTCGTTGAGCTCTGTCCTCCGGACGCCTGTCTGTCCCCTTCCTGCCCCTCCAGGACCGACTGAGGCGAGATCTGTCACTGCAGCAGGTCTGCCCATGGAGGCACAGAGGGCGGCAGTAGTTACCCCCAAGGAAGGGTCACCTCCTGTTGAACCTGGAAATCTAGATACTGGGCTGAAATGCTCCCCATCCCCTACAGACAGGCTCCCACCCTCGCCCCATCGCACCGGCCCATGCGGCTCAGGGAAGAGCCCGTAGGCGGCCAGCCTGTCAGAATCCTGGCTCGCTCATCAGCCACTGTGTGTTCAGGTCAACAATCCCTTACGTGAAACCTCTGGGGCCAGGGGAGTTTCAGAATTCAGGTTTCGTTTTAAATTTTAGAAAGCTAATATAACACCCCAGCAGAGTCTGAGGAGGCATCCAATGGACTCATTAATACATTTTTGTATCAAAACATGAATATTCATACTAATCTTCTAGTTACATAAAAATCCAGACTTCTCAAGGGTGGGGGATTTGGCACCATCTGGTTTACTTTCTTCCAGGAGATACATAAAGTCAATCACTCAGGGACGAGGACAAAGATCAGGCTGATGGGGCAACAGCCAAACCCCAGTCCACATCCCTGACTCAGAGGCCACGGGGCAGAGCAGCTGAGCCCTAGCACCTGGCTCGGAGGAGGACACCGCATAGGTCCAGTCATAGACCCTAGTGGGACCCACACTGTGGCGGCTGAGCCCTAGCCCCACGTAACCGATGCGGGTGCCACAGGCTGCAGGGCAAATCGCTCTGAGCTTCCCAGAGCTGAGAAGCAGAAAGGATGTTAGACAGCTGGTGTCTTTCTCTCTACCCCTTTAAACACCAGCCCCCCAGGCTCCACCGCCAGCCCGCCCTCTTCTCACGCTGCGCGTGCTCCCTTTCTAGATGTGTCCACTCCCATGGCCTTGCCTACGGCCTGTATGCCCTCGACTCTCACATCTCAGTCATTTCGCCCTGCCCTCCTCTCCACTCCAGCTTACATTTTCAACTGCCTTTGCGGCACCTCCAGCTGGTTGCCTCAGGTACCTTTTCCCACTGTGCCAGGCCACTAATACCAGTGTTCCTTCCCACATCTCCCCACCTTGCTCATAGCGTGGTCACATGATGGGTTCTGACCAATGGAATCTGAGCAGAAATGCTGTGTGTCACTTCCTGCGGGGTATTTAGCTCCTGTGCACCATCCCCATGTCTCTTTCCCTCCCTGTTGCCAGGGCAAGGCGGTGGATAATCAAAACAGAAATATTCTCGGTCCGGAAGTCGCTGCTTAGAAAAAGCCACTGCAATGCATTAAATTATGAGAAGAATAAACGTCTATGGGGAAAAATTACTGTAAGTTCAGAATTATCTGATATAGCAGTGAATGCTAAATAACCCACACACCTGCCTTCCTGCCTTCTCCACCAGGCAAGTTCCTACTTGCTCTGCTCAAAACCCCAACTCAAATGCCACCTCACCTCCTCTGGGAAGGCAGGTTGGCTACTCCATCCTGTGACGTCTGCCCGTTTACTCAAGCATCTGGCACAGCAGTTACCTGAGTCTACTGACACATTTCCATTTGCAAGTTTGGGTCCCACATTTGTGTGTGCTTCTTATTCCATCCCTGTATTCTCAGTGCTTTCACATTGCAAACACCCAATATGTCTGAATTACCAGAGCAAAAAGCAGAGCCTCCTTGCTCATGTGACCACCAAACCGCAAGTCCCCTGAGACACAGCCTTCTCCGCCCTGTGCTAGGTACCACGGATGGCAGGAGGCAAGATCAGTAAGACATTGTCACCCACCTCTAGGAGCATTTCTGATCTTTAGAGGCTGTGCACCCCTTTATCTCCCATCTTTATTAAAGCACAGCCTCCACCTGAAAAGTACATAGTCTTTTCTGGAACGACCAGAAAGCAGGACCAAAGAGGGCCATTGCGGCGCGGAGGTGACAGCAGACCAGGGTCCTCTCCAGGCCCTAGGAGCCTGGCTCAGCCAAGCCCGCCCCCGTGCGGAGACGACGGCCCAGCGTGCGGAGTCGCGTCCTCGCTGCTTGGCAAAGCTTCCCACACCGCCACTGGTCAGGGAAACGGGACAGAGGGGACTGGCTAGAGTAGCATGTACTGTGAGTCCTTCCCTTTCTCCCAGTTCTCTCAAGGACATGATGCAACCCTTAGTCTAGCCCCAGGGAAATGGTGACCTTAAATAAATGATGATCAATTATTAATGCATGTTTTCACAATACTTCCCACGAACGAGCATTTTCCCTGTTGCAGGTGTGGCTTTGCTGTGGACACTGAGATTAGCCACTTAATGTACATTAAACGTGCAGTCGGCTGGCTGTGCTGGCGTCCCAGTGCTCAGACAAAATCATCCCCTATGAAGAGCGGTGGCAAACCCTAGTGCCACCCCCACAGCTTCTGCACAGCACAGTGGGGACTCTAGGACATGATCCTAGCAGGACTTTCAGAGCAGGAAATGGAACAAGGCTAGGCTCTGCTGTACATTGAAAGCTGGGATATATAGACAGGTAGTAAGATTGGAAAAAACAGAAGGGTAACTCAGCAGAATGGAATGGTAGAGTTTGGGAGAGTTGAGACAGTATATTTTGATGTTAAGGATCACATGTCATAGGTAAGAAGTACATCAAAACACAGGGAATTGTCCCTGGCTCGCATTTTTGTAGGTCACATACCATAAATAGAAAATGAACGCCCCTCCCTACACCGCCCATCCAAGTTACCGAGTGCATATGTGGAAAACAAGAAACTTACTGAAAACAGCATTGCCCGGTAACTTACCCTGTATGAAGATCCTATTCCAGTAGATTTTCCCCACTTGGTTGCCCCCAAGAAACACCAGGTTGGACAGGATCAGCATGGAGGTGGAGCAAGAGGCGAGGACCGCGTGGAATCGCCGGCGAGCCCGTGGGGAGAGGAACTGTTCCTGTGGGCCAAAGGCAAGAAGGCATCTCATCACGCGGGCAGGAAAGCAAGACTGAGACATTATCCAGCTCTCCTCGGTCATCAGCTCGGGATGCCTCCCTCACAGCCTGAACTGCTATTTAAATTAAAATTGCTATTGAAACAGGTCTCAAAACTTCTATTCCCACAACATGCTCACTCTGGTCTAAGGAAAGAAGCACCGCACCCCCAGGCTGTTACTTCCTATGATCAAAACGGGCTTCCCTCAGAGATGTGTTGCACAAGTTCTGAAGCTGGCTAAGGTTTAGCTGGAATGTCTCTATATGCTTCCTGTATGCAAATCTACAGGTACAAGAACTGTTTAAACTGCTCACCACGATAACAAACACAACTCCAGGTCAGGCGATCTCCTGGGCCAGGTACTTGACCCTAGGAAGCCACCCCATAACTCTGACCCACTGGTAGGAGGAACCCCATGAAGAGGGTGCAGGCGATGCGTACAAGCCAACTGCATTCCTGGAATCAGGGCTCAGGGTGCCCATCCCGCTGAGAGCGGGCTCCCAGCAGTGTCAGCAGATGGTGGCTCATGACAGCGCCTGAAACGCGCAGGCGCCGGGGAGGTGTTCCCCAGGGCTGATGGTAGAGAATTCTGCGCATCCGTCCGCCGAGGCCTTCACCGCACCTTTTGCTCCCCTTTCAGTATCTTCTTAAGGATTTCATAAAGTGAACAAAGCCTTTATTTCTCCGCATTGACTGTTCTGGTGGCCCTCTTGAGTGAGGTCACACACCGTGCTGTCTGGAACGTGTGAGCCCCGTGATCAAATCGCAGGGACTGTCCTTTGCGACTGTGTATTGAGAATGAGAACCAGGTATAGTGCAACTGCCAGACAGACACCCGGGGCCCCAGAGCTTCTGACAAATACCTCAGCCTAATCCAAAGGCACAGAAAAGAGAGGAAGTAAAGGGCCTAGAGGCGGCTCCTGAATGTTCTCCTGAAGCCACTCATCTCTGGGGTGGTCGCCTGCATCCTGATTCCAGCTGTGCCCCAATTACAACTGGAATTCTGAATTAGCCGGATTCATGACAGGCAAAAGGACTAAGCTACAGGTGACTGTACAGAAGGAGGCTTGCTTACTTCTGGGACCCTGCTGTGGTTTCCCTGTGGCTACCGTGTGAGCCTCGGTCAGGGGCCTCTGAAAAATCAGGAGAAACCAATTCCTGACACCTCCCCTCTTCCCTCCTGCCAGCCCCAGCGTCTGTTCTGCATCCGCAGACATAGCTGTTGCCATAGATCTCCTCGTGCACGGCTCTCTCCTCCAGCGTCACCTTGGAGCATGGTTCACTGGCACCAGATGCGAGCGTGGCCTTCTCACGCATAAGCTGTGCAGTGGGCACTGACTGAGCTGTCTGCCTTCACGTGATTGTTCTGGAAAGCTCTTCAGTGAAGCTAGCATGTCCCTGATTAGAGGCCACCAGGCAAGACAACCCCTAGTCTCCCTCTCTGACCTAAGAGGTCACAAGGGGATGCTGTCAAACAAGACCAGATGAGAGATAATGACACAGTATGAAACTGGTAATGAGAGCGGAACGGGGACAACTCCGCACTCCTCACCTCTGAGAATAAGGAGACATTAATCTACCGGCTTCTGCATTTTAGAGCAGAGGAAGTTATTTTCTGGGCATTGCTGACTCAGTTAGCAATAACTGGGGAGGCAGGATGAGAGGAGGCAGGGAGGCAGCAGGAAAAAGTCCCTAATAATAAACCAAGAAAAGATGAATTGTCTTCACCGGCATAAAAGTGTCCAAATAGCTCTCTTTAGGTAGAGGGACACTGATAACACATTTGATTTCTAAGGGACCCAATGAGTCAGACACTCTGTGACTTCTGTTCTAACCCCATTCATGTCCCCCAACCTGACATCCTGTCTGGGGAATTCCAAGGCCCCATGTGGTCTTTCTCTCATTAGTGTCAATTACAGAGGGTACACATAGCTCATTTAAGCTCAAAGTAATTCCCCCTTTATGGAAGATAATTACACTTATTAAATAATCAATAGAGATATATTGAGAGAGGAAAACACTCTTTGCATTGGGTTGCCCAGCAGGGCTGCGGTGCCAGGTTACCTGTACAGGGCTGAAGGCCAAGGGCAGAACGAGGGAGCGCGAGTGCAGGAGGCACAGGGCTCCGCTCCAGCGCCGAGGCCCTGGTGCCCGCAGATCTTCCATGAGTTCTCTGATGACCCCCATGCTCTCTCAGCTACATCGGTCAATAATTCCCTTTTTCTACCTAGGTGGGGGGGAATGTCACAATACTAGCAAATATGAAAGAGCCTCTAGTCTCAGAGTCAGGAGGGAGGACACCTAAAATCTGAAATGACTGACCACAATTCAATTTTTGAAAGAATTAATTTAAAAAAAAAATAAGTAAGAATGTTAAAGGCACAGCTGTTGGACTTAATATGCTAGAAAGACTTAAAAGGAGAACTCGAGATGCTTATAGGCAACTCTTGATTATCCCCCAAGGGGGAGGGGGTGGGAAACAGAATAGATGATAATAAAGGAACTCCAAAAACCTAATTTTAACTAAGAGCCCCATCCTCTGAGCTGACAAAACTGGCCTTACCAATGGGCGGTGCACTCAACGGAGCACTGCCTGTCTTCACTGTGAGTCAGCAGGAGAGCAGAACGACGGACTCCAAGGGAGGGAAGAGGAGGCCTGTCTGGATAGTCCACGGGGGCGGGGCGGGCAATGACCAACCGCAAAGGGGGCGTTAAGTCTCGGCTACAACCGTCCCTCCTCTTCAGGCTCCCTGGACACGGCAGGAGGGAGCTGTTTTGACATTAGGGATTTCTTTCTCTCTGTCTTGGGAACCATCTGGCCTCAGCCATTGCTTCACGGAAACTCGACAGCAGTGATTGCCACCCTTTTTCACCTCACGGCCCACATAAACTAAATACTAAAATTCTGTGGCACAAGAAAAAAAAATGTTTTTTGCTGATCTAATTAAAAATAGGTATGATTTTGATTGATTTACAAAAAACAGTAAGAATTACCCTTTGGGCTCCAAAATGACTTTTTAAAAAATTAGGTGCCTAGATTTGTATATAAGGATTTCTGGTACCAAGAATTAACCAATCAGATGCAACCTTGTTATACGACATGAACAATAAGGTGCAACTCTACTATATGACCTGCATATCTATGGTTCAAGACAGGGCATTCACACCGGATGGCTATTGTGTTGGTTGTTGTCATTTTTTTATTTGACAATCTAAGGGAAAAAGAGGTCAGTGCCCCTTCCTAAATAGTCAGGCATTGTATATTTTAAAAATTCTTACGGCACATCAATTGCAAATCACTGCTCTAGAGGAAAGTTCCACACTTAGGAGTCCCAGGAGGAAAAATGCCACACGGGGAAGGCTGGAAGGCTATGTTCCCTTGGCCCAGCCAGCTCCATCGATATATGTAATTTTCTGAATCTCTAGGGCTCGAGGGCCGAAGTTCCCACTTTAAACCCTTTAAACCGTTGCCCCGTCACCTCTGAAGTCCCACAGCAATTACTGTAACTACTCCTGTGGTCCTTCACATCTAGGATGCTGGCTGTCCATGCGCAGGGGCGAAGACTTAGGTTACCCATCCTTACAGCTGAGATGCTGGCAAACCCCGCTGGTAAGAGAACTCATGTTGAGGAATCGTCAACTACGTGGGGAAATCGCTTTGATCAGGGTACAGTGAAGAGCCATCAGGAATAAAAATAAGAATCTCCAACTCGATCAGATAAGGCAATGATTGGTAAATAGAATTTGATTTTCATTAACACGAATATATCAAGATAAAAAAGAGCTCTGGGCTGGTCATGGTCTCTCCCAGATAGATGAGTCTGCGGCAATTCAATGTCCTCACAGCAAAAAGTGGAAGAGGCATGTGCCCCAGGGAATGTCTAGAAATTTGCTGGGCATTTTTGGTTGTCCAAGGACAACACAATTGCCAGGAGGTGACTGTGCATTTGATGGGCAGGGGGCAGGGATAATAAACATACTGCGATACGTGTGACAGAACTGTCCTGCCTGAAATGTCAACAGTGCCCTCTGGGGAGAAGGTAAAAGGTTTTCTCCCGCATTCACTCTAAAGTGACTTCCCTCTCCACCTGTGCGGGTGCAGAGCTTCCCTTCCTCCTTCCTACAAAGCCGGAACTGGGCCCCCTGCCCCCAGGGGCCCAGGAAGTACACTTAGGGGCAGGAAAAGGGCTCCTTAAACAGGGCCCCAGTGGCAGGTTGCTCCCACCTCCACTCTCACCACAGGGCACCACATAGAAGGACGAGTCCTGTGCTCTCAGCCACGTTCAGGCAAGATGTACCCCAGTTTTGAGCCTCCTCACCCCACACCCCTGAAGCCGAAAAAAGAGGAAGGACGGGAGGTGGAGCAGGTTAGGAAGCCTCGCTGTGCCCGTGCAGGGTGACCGGTCCTCCGGCACGGACCAGGACCTCTATGACAGGCGGGGGCAGTTTCTCCCCATGTTAATGTTGCTATAACCCCATCTTCAGGCCCAAGGGCAGGTACGGGGCTCTGGGCCTGGATACAGCAAGCCCCGCAGAACCTCCAGAAACGCAGAGGCAGACCTCTAATTTCCCCGTGGGAGTGCGCTGTGACTGGAGACAGAGAACTGGGGTGTGGGGACGTTATGACTCCACTTTAGCGGTGGATTCGCGCTTCCCTCAAAGACACCCATTCCCAAAGTGCGGCGTGCAACCCAATAAAGTAAACCTCAGGGCTGAACTAAACTTCTGTCAAACTAGTTTGGATTTCCTGCTGTGAGGTGTCCATGGCTTGTGTCCAAGGGCTCATGTGTGTTTATTCATATCTCCATGGCAACTCTTCTATCTTTTCCAGTCAACATCCTGTGCCTGGAAATCACAGGACGGTTTGGGGCAAACCAGCTGGGCCCTGGGGGTGTGGTCTGCAGAATCTGGGTCAGAAGTGATGCTCAGCACAGCCCTGGGGTGGAAGGCAGACGGTGCGGT